GTATAAAGAAATTATATATGCATACTCACACACACACCTCATATACACAATGGAATATCATCCAACCTTAAAAGAAAAAGAAATCCTGTCATTTGCAACAACATGGATAAACCTATAAGGCATTCTGCTAAATGAAAATATGCCAGACAGAGAATGACAAAACTGCATGGTATCAATTATATGTGGAATCTAATAAAATAGTTGAACTCATGGAAACAGAGAATAGAAAAGTTGTTGCCAGGGGCCGATAGGTGAGGGAAAAAGGGAGAGGTTGATCAAAGGGTATAAACACTCAACTGTAAGAAGAATAGGTCTGAGTATCTAATATATAACATGGTGCCTATAGTTGATAACACTCTATTATATAAATGAAATTTGGTAAGAGAATAGAACTTAAATGTTCTCACCCCCCCAAAAAAAGTGTGATGTTGGATGTGTTAATTAATTCAATGTAGGAAATCCTCTTAGTGTATACCTATATCTCATCATTGTGTTGTATATTTTAAATATCTTACAATTTTGTCAGTTGTACCCTAATAAAGCTGAAAAAAGTTCTTCCAAATATTTGAGGAAAACATTACACCATTCTTCCACAATAGTTTCTAGAAAATAGAAGCAGTGGGAATACTTCCTAACTCATTGTATGAGGCCAGCATTAATGTAATACCAACCAGACATTATAGGAAAGAAAATCTACAGGCTAATATCTCTCATGAACATAGATACAAAAATTCTCAACAAAATATTAGCAAACCTAATCCAGCAAAGCATTAGAAGAATTATACCCTATGACCCTGGGATTTCTTATTGGTCTGCAAGACTCATTTAACATTCAGAAATCAATGTGATGCATCACATCAGTGGGCTAAAGAAGAATTATAGTCATAACAGTGGGTGCTCTCAGCAAACCTAGAATAGAGGGAGAACTTCCTCAACTTGACAAAGAACATCTATGAAAGTCCTACAGCTAACATCATACATGATGATGAGAAACTAGACGTTTTCCTGCTAAAATCAGGAAAAGCACAGGATGTCCCTTCATACCACTCCTGTTTAACATCCAATAAGACAGAAAATACTTACAGATTGGGAAGGTAGGAGTTTGTTTATAGATGACATGATTGTGTCTAAGTAGAAAATATGAAAAATTTAACAAAAAAACTATTGGAAGTAATAAGTGCATATAGCAAGGCTCAGGATACAAGGTTAATATACAGAAGTCATTTGCTTTCTTATTATACCAGTGCAGCAAAGGAAACCATCAATTTGCAATTAAAAATACAGTGCCATTTACATTAACATCAAACAAGAGAGAAATAGGTTTAAATTTAGCAAATAAACAAGATCTACATGAGTAAATTTATAAAATTCTGATGAAAAGAAATCAAAGAAAAAAAGATCTAAATAAATGGAAATATGTTCCATATTCATGTATAGGAAGACTTAAAATTTTATCAAGATATAAGTTCTTCTCAAGTGGATTTATAAATTCAATGCAATTTCAATCCAAATCCCTGCAGATCATTTTGTGAATATTAGCAAACTGATTCTTAGTATGTATGGAGAGGCAAAACACCCAGAATAGCCAACACAATATTGAAGAAGAACAGTGTTGGAGGACTGATAGTACCTGACTTCAAGACTTACTATAAAGCGACAGTAATCAAGACAATGTGCTATTGGTAATAGAGTAGATAATAGATCAAAGAAACAGAATAGGGGGCCCAGAAATAGACCCACACTGATATAGTCAACTGAATGTTGTTGGGGAGTAAAGTCAATTTAATGGAGAAAGGAAAGTCTTTTTAATAAATGTTGTTTGATAAACTAGACATCCACATGCAAAAAGAAAAAATAATCTAGACAGATTATTACACTTATTAGACTTTTACTTTCATTACAGATCTTACACTTTTCACAAAAATTAATTCAAAATGGATCATAGACTTACATGTAAAACACAAAACTTGTGTTTAAAACTTATAGAATATAGCAAAAGGGAAAATCTCAGTTACGTTGGGTATGGCTATAACTTTTTGGATGCAACACCAAAAACATGATCCATCAAGGGAAATATTGCTAAGTTGGACTTTATTCAAATGAAAAATTTGTTCTCTGAAAGACCTTGTAAAGAGAATGAAAAGATGACCCATAGGTTGGGAAAAAATACTTGCAAAACATATCTAATAAAGACAAATCCAAAATATACAAAGAACTAGTAAAACTCAACAATAAGAAAACAGACAACCCAATTTAAAAACAGGCAAAAGGGGGGTGCCTGGGTGGCTCAGTTGGTTAAGCGACTGCCTTTGGTTCAGGTCATGATCCTGGAGTCCCTGGATCGAGTCCCACATCGGGCTCCCTGCTCGGCAGGGAGTCTGCTTCTCCCTCTGACCCTCCCCCGTCTCATGTGTTCTCTCTCATTCTCTCTCTCTCTCTCTCAAATAAATAAATAAAATCTTAAAAAAAAAAAACAACAGGCAAAAGGTCTGAACAGACACCTCACTAAGGAATGGAGAGAGAATTGTAAATTAAAACTACAATGAGATGCCACTACACAACTGTTACAATGGCTAAAATCCAACACACTGGCAACACCAAATGCTGGAGCAGCAACAACTCTCATTCATTGCTGGTGGTAATGCCATTTTGGAAGACAGTTTATTAGTTTCTTTCAAGTCTAAACATAGATAGTCTTACCATGCAATCCACCAGTCATGCTTTTTGGTATTATCCAAATGAGTTGAAAACTTAAGCTATACAAAATCTTACACATATTTGTTTAGAGCAGATTTACTTATAATTGGCCAAACTTGGAAGCTACCAGGATGTCTTCCTATAAGTGAATGGATAAACAAACTGTGATACATTCAGACAATGGAGTATTATTCAGTGATGAAAAGGAATGGACTATCAAGTTATGAAAAGACATGGAGGAAGCTTAAATATACATTGCTAAGGAAAAGAAGTCAATCTAAAGCTACATACTGTAAGACTCCAAGTATATGACATTCTGGAAAAGGCAAAGTTATGGAGAAAGTATAAAGGTCAGTCGTTGCCAGGATTCAGGGGATGAGCAAAGGAGGAATGAATAGATAGAACTGAGTGGACTTGTAGAACAGGGAAACTATTCTGTATGATACTGTAATGGTGAATATATGACATTATACATTTGTCAGTACCCATAGAACTGTACCACGCTAAGACCAAACCCTAATGCAAACTATGGATTTTAGTTAATAATAAAACATCAATACTGGTTCATCAGTTGTAACAGATGTACGACGCTAAAGAAGTTTTGGAATAAGGTAAACAGTGGGAGGGGAAGATGTGGGGCAGCTCTGTACTTTCTACGCAATTTTTCTTTAAGTCTAAATTTCTAAAAAATAATGTTTATTAATGAAAAGAAAACTCTTAGTAAAATGGGAATTCAAGGACAGTATTAGTTTATCATACAAGTGTGTAAATATGTAACCATAGAAATGCTCATTGAAACATTGTTCATATAAATATAGTCAGTGCCTATGATTATAGTATGTAAATACATTGCCAAATTATGCAGTCACTAAAATGATGAAAATGGAGAGGAAGGTATGTGTTAGAAATTTAGGAGCTAGAATTTACAGGACACAGTGATTGACTATGAAGGGAAGAATGGAATCCAATATTTTGGGTAGATCTCTGCCTTGGACTGAACTAGACAGGTGAAGAGTGGGGATTATGATTCATCTACTGTTGAACTCATTGTGTTTAGTTTCTGTGGTCATAAACCCCAGGAAGTAATCAGATATATAGGTCTTTGGGGCGCCTGGGTGGCTCAGTTGGTTAAGTGTCCGACTCTTGATTTCGGTTCAAGTCATGATTTCAGGCTCCTGAGATTGAGCCCCATGTAGGGCTCTGTGCTGAGTTTGGAACCTGCTTAAGATTCCCTCTCTCCCTCCCTCTGCCTACCCCTCTCCCTCTGCTTGGGCTCTCACTCTCTAAGAAAAAGAATAAATAAATACATAAAAAAAGATATATGGGTCTTTAACAAGAGTAGGTTTGGATAGAGATAGTGTAAGCTCTAGGAGTTGATGTAATCACCCAGTGAAATTGAGAGAATTAGAAGCCAGAAAAGTAAAAGTAAAACCAGGAGAAAACTATGTTGTGAAAGCCAAAGAACAGAGTTCTAGGAGAGAATGTTTAATAGAGACCAAGTAAGATTGGACTGAAAAATGAATATTGCATGCTGTAGCATGAAGTCATGGGTTACTGTGGACCAAATTATGTTGATGGATGGTTAGCACTGGAATCCTGATTGCCCTGGTTCAAGTAGACCTGTTTGTCCTGAAAATATTTTTCTTGGAACATTAGTCCCATAGTACTTCTTACAACATTTTATATGCTAGTGTACATCATGAATCTCTTAAACAGGGTTTCTCAAACTTATTCGATCTAGGAACTCTTGTGCTGTTGTGTTAGCATTTTTCAGATCTGGTGTTCCTTAGAACACATTTCAGGAAACATCCACATATAACAATCTGAAGGAGCTTCATGACAGAGACACTAGAGAGGTAGAATAGTAGCTCATGGGAATATTTATAGCATGAAGCTGAAACTTTAGGATACTTATTTTAAGCAAAACGAGGAGACTAGGTACTATAAAGAGGTTATTATTACAGGAAGGGAGGTTCTTGGAGTCCTAGAAGAGATGAACAGGATTAACACCCTGAGAGTAAGTATAGTTTTGAACAAATGTAGGAAAGTAAAAAAGGATGCAGATAGTTGAGTCAGTAAAGGTAGATTCTCTATTTGGTAAAGCAAAACAATAGCTTGTCTTGCAGACACAGGATAGAAAGGACTCTACTGTGCTTTTGAAAAAGAAAAATTGATGAAGACTGTGATATTACTTAATATTCCCAATTCTGTTACTTAGTGGATGTAAGTGTGAGATGTCTCCAAGTAGAAATTTCTGATTATACTGGAAGTCTGAATGATTTTTAAAATTCTGTATTTCATAGGATGCCAGACATGCAGCTGAAGAAGAGATTTATACCAACTTAAACCAGAAGATTGACCAGTTTCTACAGTTAGCTGACTATGACTGGATGACTGGAGATTTGGGCAACAAAGCTAGTGATTACCTAGTAGACCTCATTGCCTTTCTACGAAGCACTTTTGCTGTATTCACACACCTTCCTGTAAGTGACAATTGCTCTTACATTGCCCATCATACAGAAAAAAGTTTTCTTAAAATTTAGTTTGGTGAAAGATGTTTGTGCTTTAACTAGCTGGGAAGCTCTTTAGGATATAAAAGCTCACACTATAATTATCATGCCTTGAGGAGATCTAGAGACCTCTCATCATTTTTCCATTGACTTTTGCATTTTGCATTTGTTTATTTTGAAAATGGTCCCTAATATTATGTCTATTTCTATTCCTCTTAACTTCACCTAAAGTAATTTGTGCAAGCACCTAGTGAATGCCATGGTAGAAATAGAAGACAAACTTAGGAGTTAGAATTTCAGGTATGTATCTTTTAGTCCTAGAATATCCATTTAATTTTTTTAAAGTTTAATTTATTTATTTGTCAGAGAGAGAGAGAGCACAAGCAGGGGGAGCTGCAGGCAGAAGGAGAAGCAGGCTCCCTGCTGAGCAAGGAACCCAATGCAGGGCTCATTCCCAGGACTCTGGGATCATGACCTGAGCCAAAGGCAGTCGCTTAACAGACTAAGCCACCCAGGCGCCCCTCCATTTAATTTTTTTTTAACCTCAAATTCTCTGGTGAAATTCTCCATCTTTTTATCTAATTTGTCTATCTTTTCTCTATTTTCTTGACCATATTAATTAGTCATTTTAAAGTTGTTTTTTACTGGTGGTGAAGTGTCATTCACCTACATGTAGGTAGAATTATTTCTGATTTTTTTTCTTAGTTATCAGTCATGGGATCCTATCTCTTCCTATTATTTTTTGGTTGGTGTTAGACATTGCATTTAAAACATGTAGAGGTTCCAGGTGGTAACATCTCCCACCAGAATTGGTTTATCCCTTCCATTACTAAGTAGGTAGTATGGGCAGGTGGGTTATGGTTTGAGCCCACCAGGTGGTTCATCGTCTTAATCCCAACATGGGCTAATCTGGGTCCAGCTTGGGTTGCAGATGCAGTCTACCTTTGATTTGCCCCTGTTGCTAGGATGTGGTTCTTCAGAGCTTTTACTGAGAGCCTGGCACATCATCGTCTCTTCAGGACTAAGAGGACTATGGAACTTTCCACTTTTCAGAAAAACCTTATCTCTTCAGCCTCCTGCCTTTTTTAATTTTAGAGTTTGGCAAATGTCTTGAGAAGGAGGCTTACCCAGATCAGCAATTGCCTATAGGAAAAAAGTGGTTGGAGATTGTCCATGTCAATTAACCACTCCCTCAAAATCTTTCAGCTCCCACCTGAGATTCTCATGAATCCTCCTACTAGTGAGTCTTTTTCTATGAAACACTAAGGCTGTGGGAAATCTTACTTTGCTTTTCAAAGATTATGGCTTAGACCCTTATTTTCCTCAGCTGGGCAGCTTTAGAATTCAGAAAATGTCTTGAGGAGAATACTGGCCCTCAGATCTCCAATTTTGGTACTTCAGCCCATGGAAGCAAAAACAATTCAGTGACTTTTTTTCACCCCAGTAGTCACTCTCTACCTGCACCTAACCCAGATTCTCAGTCTGTTCCTGTGCCTACGTTGGGCAGATACCTCTAGGGATGGCTGCAAGAGCCTCAGCTCACCTCCAAAAGGTCTGCCTTCTTTGTAGCTTTATTTCCTTTCGTCCTCATTGCTTCATAGCTGTTTGGTGTCTTTCCGTTTTTCACTGCCGTTTATATTGCTTGGTGGGAGCATTGGCCTGCAGAAAACTAGGTTATTTCATCTAGCTTTACCTTGACACCAAAGCAAGACAAAAGTAGCACAAAAGAGCAAATGATGAACCAATAAATAAATTTTAGCAAGTCAATTCCTAAGTGTTTTAAGAAAATAATATACTGCTACTATGTAGGATTCATTCTAGAGATGCAAGGATGGTTTGATATTTGAAAATCTGTTAATCTAATTTATCACATTACTAGGTGAAAGAGATGAGCATTATCTTTGTGTATTCTAAAAAGGCATTGCACAACATCCAGCCTGCCCTCCTGATTTTAAAAAAACTTACTAAAATTCAAGCAATGTAATATTTCAATAACATGATAAAGAGCATCTATGTGAAATTCAGCAACCACCATAGATTTAACAGTGGAACTCTGAAAACACTTATTTGCATTTACATCAAAAGTATGGCGAAGATACTTCTTACTAGTACTTTAGAAGTTCTATGAAATAAATAAAGTTAAAAAAATAAATAATAAATGTTATCATTGTTTATAGATTATTACTATGTGGTTGGATAACCCCCCAAAAATCAACGAAAAAATAATAGGACCAATAAGACTTTCGTTGGTTAGTTGGTCCACTTAGAAAACAAATCAGCTTCTCTTATATTAGCAATACCCTCATAGAAAATATATTGAAAAAAAAATGCCCGATTCATCTTTGGATTTTAACATCTCTGTAAGTAATACTTAACAAGTTATATGTAGGACTAATGTGAAGAACATGTCACAAAATAATTTAAAAGAGACTTTATTATGTGCAAATACATACAGCATTTTAGGTGGGAATAGTTCATACTGTAAAGAATTTTTCCAAAATTAATCTAATTACCATGAATAACAAGTGAATTTGGTGGTGGTGGATTATTTTAACAAAATAATTCTAAAATTTATTTGCAGACAAAAAGGGATAGTATTTGCCAAAAAATATGAAAAAGTAAATTGAGTGTGGTCTTTTCCTATCAAGTGTAGAAATATTATAAACCAAAAATAATTTAATATCCTTCTCACACTGGAATAGACTGATAGATTAGAGGAAGAGAACATAAAATCTAGAAATAGTTCAAAGTACATGTAAGAATTTAGTATATGATAAAGGTGACATTAGCAATTTCTGTTGCCACTGCTATCTGCTAATTTGGATGAAAAGAAGTTTTCATATATCAAAATAAATTCTAGATCAAATGCATGTTTACATTTTAATTTATTTTTTAATTTTTTAAATCTAAATTCAGGTTAGTTAACATATAATATATTATTAGTTTTGGGGGTAGAATTTAGTGATTCATCAGTTACATATAACACCCAGTGCTCATTACATCACGTGCCCTCCTTAATGCCCATCACCCAGTTACCCCATCCCCCCACCTACATGTTTACATTTTTAAAAAGACAGAAGTTACGGGAGAACCAATAAAAATGTTAGCAAATATTTCTATAATCTGAAAATAAGTCACCGTCACAAGGATGACACCAAAAAATGAAATCATTAAGGAAATGGTTAATAATTTGGCCACATAAGATGTTTTGTAAGATACCTAACAAGAATTAATAAAGGAAATAGAATGTAAGCTTACTACAAAAGTAATTAACAAGTATTCCAAAAGGTTAATATCTGTAATATATAACAATATAACACATTGTTTCAAACTCAGTAAGAAGACTGCACAACTTACTGGGAAAATTTGCAGATGTTGTATTTTAGGCATCAGAAAAGAAGAAAAATAAAAGACTAATGATAACATGAGCAAAATGTGTAACTCTGGTAATAAGACATGTATATTAATATTGTGGGATATTCTTGCCTATAAATTTGCCAAAAGTAAATAAGAAAATGATAACATTCAATATTTATGAGAAACATTTCCCCAAATAGGTATTCTGATACATTCCTGGAAGGTGTAAAAATTGGTATATTCTTCTTGATGGTCAGTTTTTCAGAATGCCTCAAAAATCTCTTAAAATTTGCTTACTTTTAACCCTGTAATCCAGTCCACTTTTAGAAATATTAATGAAATCATCATTGGTGTATTATACAATTCACATATAAGTGTGTTCAGCATAGTATTAGCTTTTGCATAGTGGAGTGGGGAGTAAATTAAAAGCCAGTAACAGATGTGTTAGCTCAATAAATTATTATATATTCACATACTATGATCTCAATCATTCATTAAATTAGTGGAGATGGATATTTATCAATTTAAAATATGTTAATTATTTCTTGACTGGAAAAGCAGATTGTAAAATAGTTTTATACTATATGATCTCACTTTTATTAATATAGATACACATACATTAATCATCTGTATTATATACAGTAAAACTCTAGAGTTACATACTCCATGGTTTAACTATACTAGTCTCTGTATAGCTTTTATTTTTTCTTTTTGTTTATCTGTGTTTAAAAAAATTTTTTTTCTGTCATGAAACGTTTGCTGCTTTTATAATTCTGGGGGTGGGGAAAGGTGATATTTAGAAGTATTATTCTCTGTTCCAAGAGTATTTTGTCCTTGATAATTAATGTATACTTAAAAAAACCCACTTTTATTGAAGAAAGATTTTTACAAATGTAAAATGATACTATCCAGAATCAAAGTCAGAGGTAACTCACAACCCTAAGTCTTCAATGTTGCTTCCACAAATGCCATGTTTCTGTGTGATCTAGTATGGAGATGTTCTTTCTGAAGCCACTGTTTCAAAAAGTATTTCTAGTCACCAGCCATTATATTCTCTAGAATCAAATTGGTACAGCTTCTAAAACTACCCCTTCTTCTGGTTTTTACACAGACAAAAGAGACTGCCCAGCATTTGTGTTTTGTTCCCCAACATGCTAGATATTGTCTTCATGGAAGCTCATATTAGTAAAATGAATTAGCCAAACAGCTGTGTCTGAAATTTGCTCTGTGTACTAACAGTGAAAGATGAGAGAGGGAGGAGCTATTTCTGAGAAAAAAACCCCAAATCATTTGTTTTTTAATTAATATGAATATTTCTTTTCATATTTTAAATTCCCTAGCAAGAGTGACTCTCTTGTCAAAGAGAGATTGAATAATAGGAACTATATATATGGAAAGAACTGTAAAGAAAAAGCCAGATTGCCTTGTTATATTTAAAATCCCCAGGTTTTCTTAGTTCTCAGGGATGTTTTGTCACCATACTAGCAACATAACCAAAGGGACGGGGCAGTGTGTAGGTGTGTGTATGTCAAAGAGAGAGAGAGTGAATAGAGAGGGAAAGAGAGTGTTTGAATGGGAGTGGATGTCCTAGATTACACTTCACTGAACACTGAATG